CCTCATATATGCAAGCTGAGCACCAGCCATTTTGTGTGACATACGTAGGCTGGGAGATTTTTGCCACCTGCACTGGCCGCTGCAGGTACACGGCATCCTGTCCGTGGTGCCAGAGCAAGAGGATGGCGAGCTTTTTTGGACCCAAACCTCCCATGTTAGGAAAGATGGGGTTTAGAAAATGAAACCACATTATCCTACTGGCAAAAGGATGCTGCAGGGAGCTAAAATCACTGGCCTAGGAAGCACTCCAAAATTAACCTCAGGTTTTCAGTGAAGAATTTATTGGCTACTACAGAGCAAGATTTTATTTATTTTTTAAAATTACATTTCCCCCAAAACAGATGCTCAAATTAAGCTGTGGGGAAAATACTGGACTGTTCATCTACAAATTCCCAGAGACTTCCCTGGCCCGTCAAGATCCCCGGTAGCACAGGCTCTCGCCTCCCCTGGGCATCTAGTCAATCACTGACATTTGGGCTGAGAGGCTCATCCCCACGGGGCTGCCCCTCATCCTGCCCGCGTAGCCCAAGATTTGGTCCAGGAGTCACAGTCTTGCCCCCTTAGTGCTCCCTCTGGAACTGGACCACCAGAGCACCTGTAACCCACGCAGAGTCAGACAGCTGCACGCACAGGTGCCACACTCCCGCAGAGGCCGTGGCAAGGCCTTCCAACCTGCGTTTACACCAACCGCTGCTCAGGAGAGCTGAGGCCTGCTTCCCCAAAGCTCACAACTGGCCCCTCTCTGTGTCGACAACAATCTTCTGATCTCCACCCACCTCCAAAATATCAGGAATACCAGTGCTCCAAGAGCCTTTGCTTGCGAGCCCTGACCTTCTTGTCCAGACTGTCTCCTAAGAGAATGTTATTTCTCTCTACTTCCCACTGGACTCAAGAGGCAGCTATGGCTGTGATGTATTGTTACAGCTGAGAAGCTAAGATATATTCTGAACCAATAAAGATGAGTTCATGCTCTATGATCCAAGGTGTCCCCTTCATGGAAAAACATTTCAAAAAGACTTAAGGCCACTCAGGCCTCTCCCACAGCCCACAGACTCTCAGTAATTCCAAGGGCAAAGCTCCTCACACAGGCCATCACAAGGTAAGAGAGCCTCAGAAGCCAGGGCACTGGTGCCCCTTGCCCCAGCTTGGCACCGGGCAAACCACCCAGGCACCAAAAGCCATGTCCCTGACATGGAATTGGCAGCAGCTCAGGCAGGCCTTTGTCACCAAGGACACCAAGCACCGTGCAGAAGTCAAAGCACGATTCTCTCAAGGACACGGGAGTCCAGATGATGAGGTGGTAAATGCCGCAACAGCCTCATGCTGGGAAAGCACCGGACGCTGGGCTCAAGCCAAACACAGCACAATTTTGTGAAGGTCTAGGAATGCTGACTGTCCTCGAGAACTGCTCACATAATGAGAAAATGAGGATGCTGGCTCCACGCACTGCTGGCTCTCCCCACACAGACGTGAGATCTCTAGCAAGGGAAGACAGGCTCTCAGGATGAGAGGCAGAGAACGTTTCAGAGTCGCCAAAAGTCTGAATTGTGCCAACTCCACTGTCACTGGCTGTGTGACCCTGGGGAGTCCCTTGGCCTCGCTGAGCTTCAACTTCCTCCCTGGGATGTAAGGGCCACTACCCCACCCTCCTGGGTGGCGGGGAAGGGTTAGAGACTCCAAACCCAGCATGAGGTCAGGAGGCTCTTCCCTTAATCAGAGGGACCCAGCAGTGGGAAACCACCAGGAGAGGCACTGGGGGAATGCAAGGCTACGACCACCAAAGGGCATGACAAACCCACTGGTCCCATTTGTCATTTACCTGCAAGGACCAGAGACCCAGGATGAAGACACTGGCAAAGAGGAAGAGACCATCAGGAAAACAATGTGGCCAAATATAAAGCCCTCCCGAAAGTTGATTTTCCCAAATTGCTCCTAACAGCTAACTTGGCAGCAGTGGGCATTTTTCTGGCATGATCTTTCCTGTTCTATGAGCCATGTTTCTGATTCTCTGGAGTTAGTATGCGGTCCCGGTTTTGTTCAAAGAGTTCTAACATTTTCTTCCTGTCGTGGTCAGCCTCAATCACCTGGAAATTAAACACATGGATCACCGGGCTGCACTTGACCTCAACATCCTCCTCCCTTCACGATGAAGAGGGGGAGAGGTAGAGACAGGCAGGATGAAGCAGGAGAGGCAGAGAAGCCCAAGGTCACAGGCAGAGAAAATGGAAGCATAAAAGCAAAACAGCACCTGGTTCTAGGTCAATTCATATTCTCAACTGTGTTTTCACTTAAGAATCCACTACAGCTGTCCCTGTGGCCAGCCCACGAATGATGTTTTTTTTTCCCCATCATGTTATATTATCCAATCATGAGGGGGAAAAAATAGATTTTACTTCTTCAAAACTCCAGCACAGTAATATCTCACTTTTCGGCAACCTCGTGGCCTGCGAGCACCGTGAGTAGAAGTATTTGAGAAGCCCAAACAGATGTCCCTCAGGCCATGCACCAAAGTCTGTGTGCGGCCCTCCCTTGCATCCCACGCTGTGCACGCACTCCTGACAGTCTTAGCACCCATCTGCCTGCCTCAAGAAATTCAGCAGCAGCAAATCGGAAAACGAGGGGACAGGGAAGCAGGGAAACACGGACGGAGCGGAAACGGCGACACAGTTAGAAGTGGCGAGTGTCAGCAGGAGAAAAGGGGGCGGCTATACAAAGCCAACGCGGGAGCTCAAACACGTGAGTGGTGTGGGGCAAACAGTCCTACACACCTCAGCACCTCCTAAGGGCATCGCTGGGTAACAGCCCAGGACAGCAAGTGGTGCTCCTCCAGACGCCCTGGGTCACCAAGAAAGGGGGCAGTGAGGCTCTGCGCCTGCTATCCACTGAAGAAGGGATGGCTGCATCGCAAAGACCCAGCTCGAGTGCTTAAAGCCAAAACGCACGTCTAGAGGCTTCAGCCATCGGGGACACTCCTTCCCTGGTGAGGCTGGATAAGTGAGATGCTACTGTGGCCACCGGTGCAATGACACTGGGACAGGTCACCTTCTCTCAGGACTGTCCAACTAACTCTGAGACTCAGTCCAGAATGGGGACCGGGCCAGAGAAAGAGCCCTTTCCACCCTCCCTGCTTCCTCCTTCTCGATCCTCCAGCTATGAAGGAACTCGTACTTCCCCGGACTACAGAGTGGCTGACATTCCCTGGGTCACTCCTGCTTCTAGAAAAGAAGGGGAACTTACCAGAACAGGGGCTGCCACAGGGAAAAGGCCTCCTTTGAAGAGCCACTCCTCATAGAGGCGGTGAAGAGCATCCAAGTATTCCTGCCAGGAAACACACACACACAGACACACACAGACACAGGCTGTCAGGAGCAGGGAGGGGGACAAACCTCTCCACCAAGGGTCTTAGGCAGGGGGGGTGAATGTTGATGACCACAGGGCAGTGGCTTGGACAAAGGAGCCTACAACCGCTGACCTGGTCCAGGAGGACAGCAGTAAATGCAGCGGCTCCCTCTGCCAGCCAGCTCGGGCAGGGCAACAGTCAGAGGCTTCACTAGGGCCGTGGGCTCCACCCCTCCCTGCTCCACTGGTGCCTTACGCACACCCTCCCACCTCGCTTCTCACACTTCCTGCCACTTCTCCAGCAGCAGGGCCATCAGCTCCTTCATGGTGGAGCCCACAGCTGCCCCACAGCTGGACAGCCCAGCCCTGGGCAGCCTCTGACCCCTCCCCTCTGACCTTCCCTCCAAGAGGACGGTGACCTTCACTGGCCTAGGAATCCCATTCCTGCTGCTCCTACTCCCTAGATGACTTACAACCTGTGGACCCTCTAGACCATGAAGACCAACTTCATTTAAAAATTTTTTAATGTTTATTTATTTTTGACAGAGAGAGAGAGAGAGAGAGAGAGAGACAGAGCATGAGCAGGGGAGGGGCACAGAGAGAGGGAGACACAGAATCTGAAGCAGGCTCCAGGCTCTGAGCTGTCAGCACAGAGCCCGACACAGGGCTCGAACTCACAGACTGCAAGATCGTGACCTAAGCCCAAGTCGGACGCTCAACCGACTGAGCCACCCAGGCGCCCCATGAAGACCAACTTCAGAAAGCCCCACGAGGTGGAACCCAAGGGAAAAGAGGCCCGGACATGCCCCTAAGCCATTAGTGCCTCTGCACAGGCAGGACTGGACAGCACACACTTCCACACGCACAGGCCAAGGTGCTTTTGCTGCCCGTGACCACCTCCCCAAGCAGCAATTTACTGCCAGCCCGGAAGTTCTTAGAGAAACCGCACTGACACCTTTTCCATCCACCACTGAGTTCTTCCTTGGCAACAACAGGTTTGTCCTATAGGCCACGTCAGAAATGTTAGGATAATGGCTTGGCTAATGGCTTAGAGGGACTCCAGACTTGTCATTTCTTCAGAACATCTGTATCACTGCACAGAGTGGCCATGCCCTACCTTGGCATGGCCCAGCCCCACTCCACTGCACCCTTCACTCCTGTCTCTGGATTTCAAAGGAGCTGCCTAGAGAGAGGCCCATGCCTTCATGGCTGGAATCAACCTTTCTGGTGCCCAAGGAAAATAAGGCTAGGCAGGCCTCAGGAGCAGGACAGGTCTTCCAGGGCCCCAAGTCCAGCCCATCCTGAGCTCAGACCCCCATGACACCCCAGTAAATGCCTGCCAGCCTCTGTCTGTGTACCGCCAGAGGCATTCGTGTAGGGCATTCAGTTCAGTACTAACTGAGCAACTCCTAGGTGCCAAGTCCTGGGAAACATGCTGGGGATGCAAAGGGAATAAGATCTAATCTTAAAAAGCTCACAGTTTGATGATAGATGGGGAACAAACATACAGACAAATAGTTTCAGTATGCTTGTCCTTGGGCTGTGATCATAATACACCCAGAGGCTAGAGGAACACAATGGAGGGAAGGTCAGGGAAGGCCTCCTGGAGAAAATGACATCTGAGCTGAACTTGGAAGGCAAAAGAAACCACCATACAAAGGCACATTTATGTAACTACATGGTGAGTGTGTGTGTGTGTGTGTGTGTGTGTGTGTGTGTGTAGCCACAACTAGTCTCTATGGCCAGAGCATGAAAAGCAGGAAGTGGAGGGAGATAACACCAATCGGGCAGTGGGGACTTCAGCCTAGACAGCGGCAAGGCACTGAGGGCTTATGGCTGGGAGACTGCATGAATGGCATTCTATACTGGACACATCACCCAAGCAGCAATGTGGAGACCAGATTTTGGAGGGAACGTGCGGAGTGAAGGACCAGGACAAGGAGGGCAGTCCAATGGCTACAACAGTCCTGACTACAGTCCATGTGGCCCTGAGCCAGGACCCAGAAGGGCAAGATGCTGGGCAAGTCGTAGAGAAGGCCACCGCCAAGCCCAGCACTGCACTAAGCACTGGGGATGCAGTGCAGGTGGGAGGGCACGTTCTAGCGAGGACCCAGAGCTGGGCCCAGAGGCAGGTCACCTTCAGGAGGTGGACAGGACGAGACCTGGGGGCACCTGGACAGGGAGTGGAGAAGGGACGCCTCTGAGCACAGAGGGCACCAAGCAATGAGTCCCGAGCCACAGGAAGTGAGGTCGATCTGGACTCTGCACAGGGTCTCCAGCCACAGAGGAAGTCAGAGTTTACCCTCCTGCATGCTCAGTTCCCGTTTCTTCCTCTGTGACAACAGCACAGTGACCTCACAGAGGGAAGGGCCGGGCTGCGATGGACATGGTTTCCCGGTCATTTTGAAGCAGGTTAAAGAGGGCTCTTACCAGGGAAATGACTGTCTCCTCCTCCCTGCATCTCATCTGTAACCTCTGATAACAGGTCTCAGGGGTGGTCCGGAGATAAACTGAAATTAAAAAAAATCATACATGGTTCTAATTACTCTGGTCATGGCTTGGAAGTCAAAGCCGAGGGGAGGGGGAAGGAAGGTGTGTGGGCAAGACGTGGAGAGAAACATCCGCCAGCAGCTCTGAGCAGAAGACACAGACCACAGCCAGCTCACAGCCCAACCACTAACCAGCTGTGTGGCCTGACAGGCATCTTGACCCTCATCCCAACTTTAATTTTCCTTCCATGTCACCAGCCCCACAGGGTTGTTCTGAGGCTGAATGAGCTTCCATGCATACACAAAGCTTAGCACAGGGTCTGGCACAAAGGGTCTCAGTAAATGTCCAGATCCTGTCCCTCCTCCTTCTCATATAAACTAGAAAAAACAACATCAAATCACAATGGACCAGGGGAGAGCAGCTTGAGTAACAAAGCCCAGGGAGGGTGCTTCTATAGGAGGAACCAAAATGCCCCCAGATTCTGTCTGCCATTGGACAGAAGGCTGAATTGGTGTGGGAAAAGAATCACCAGTGGTTAGGGCCCCGCCCACCGTCCCTGCTGGTTGGTGGTCCAGCCAAGTGCGTCCTCACTGGGGGAGGAAGGTCGGGAGGGGCCTCTCACCTATCAAATCAATGGACACGTCGATGTTCCTCACAATCCAATCAAACCATTCTGCCAGAATCACATAGTCCACTTCAGGCATCTTCCCACTATAATGAGAGTTATTAGGGTTTTATTCATCAGAAGGACCTGTGGATGGCTTCCGTATAAAGGGCATGACCCAGGGCACAATGGTATACCGCGATCCATGTGATATTGGGCCCGAAACACCTCGGACCCTCCACCGCTGGGGGACAGCTTATGGTCTAATGCAGCAAGAGTCATGGAACTGTTCGATGGGAGAGCTCATTTGGGATCTGAACTACAGGCAGAGAAAGGGACTCTGAAGCCTGTCCCCAGAGAACAGGGATAGCACTCAGTTTGGAAGGTGGAGCAGCAAATCAATTCCACCTCTAGAAGTTTATTTCGTGGAAATAATCATGGATCTCCACCACAGCACCCCCTAAAACAATGAAAAGCGAAACCTTGGCCCATTGACAGAACAGCAAACCATGCAGTGACTGAAAGACAACATTGTAAAATAATACTTAATGACATGGAAAATGCTCACAATCGAATGTTCCATGAGAACAGCAGGACAAAAAACTGTATATAGTGTGACCCAACTGTATTTTCACAAGAATCCGTTCACATATTATGAAAAAAGACTGGGAAGAAAAACAGCAAAATGCATACAGTGCTTTTTTCTCTGAGCTGTGGGACCAGAGGGGACTTTGTTTTCTTTCTACCTTTCTGTATTTTCCAAAATCAGCAACATATTCGTTCTCAAATCAAGGGTTGGGTGGAGGGGAAATAACTACATATTTAAAATGTGAACTGAAAAAGGAAGGAAGGAAGGAAGAATTCAAGACAACAGTCTAAGCATCCACGAGGCCTGGCGTCTCTCCCCGGCTCCAGCGGGTTTCCCGCGCCCCAAGAGGAAACCAACGGGAAGAGACAGAGGAATGGCAGCTAGAGGACACAGGCCTGTCAAAGGCCAGGTGATCTGCCAAGGCCCAGGAGGGGAATTCTCCCTTGTAACACCCCACCTACCATCTTGGATCCACTCAGAACAGGGTCTGGAAGGACCGGCTACAGGAAAATGGTCGTGCCTGGGCCCCAGGGTGCACAGGGGGCTCCTCGTTGCCCATGAACGGTGGGGGCAAGAGAAGAGCCCAGTGGAAGGGCGGTCTAGAGCTGGCCCCCTGCCAGGTGCTGTGAATGGACTCCCACCTGATGGGGAAGAGGGATGCAGGGATGGGCATGGACAGAGATAAGAGCTCAGACAGTTGGAGGGGGGTGCTCTGGGGGACGAAGGGCACAAACGACAGGGCATGGCACAAACTGGACAGGGACACTGCCCCTAGTGCCTGAGACACCATGATATCCTCAGGGGAGAACAGCTAGCTGTGCCTGGGCCGAGCAGCAGGAAAGTGTACGGTGCCTGAGAGAACAGAGGGGGCAGAGGGGCAGCTGTCGGTGCCCTAGGTCTTCAGGCATCAGATCTCAGCCAGCAGACCTGATTAACATGCGAGGGCTCTTGGAATGAGTGGGTGGAGGAGGGTGGTTGGAAGAAGTCCCACAACACTGCAGAGAGGACCCGAGCCAATGCAATCCAGGAACTAAAGGTAATGACTTTGTGACCACAGGCTGGTATGGTGTGAGGACAGGCGGCTGTCTCTTCTCTTATGTCCTTATAGCCCATTATTGGGGTGCCTGGGTGGCTCAGTCGGTTAAGCATCCGACTTCAGCTTGGGTCATGATCTCACCACCTGTGAGTTCAAGCCCCACATCAGGCTCTGTGCTGACAGCTCAG